ATAGTCACCTGCACACACAGATATCCCCCTAAAATAGCTAAAACTAAAAACAAACTAAAAACTACTTCCAAAAACATTCAGCTTTGATATTAATGAGTTTTTTGGGTTCATTGAGAACATGGTTGTTGTTCAATAATAAAATTATTCCTCAAAAATACAACTTGCCTAATAATTCTGCACTCCCTGTAGGTCTGTTGACAGAGCTCTGTACAGGTCTGCTCGAGCTGACCTGAAAAGGGGTCCCACCTGTCCAGCAACAACACATGGCATGGAATAATAGACATCATAAACCACAGAGGCAGAACTGTGAAAACAGAAAACCTGAGTGTGCAGCTAGCAGAGGACATAAACAGCTTCTTTGCCCGCTTTGAAACACCACAACAGCAGCATTCATCTGCCTCAGCCCTGCTCCCATCCTCATCCTCACCTGGTTCCTGCACCGCTCCATTCACTGTAACGGAGCACGATGTCAGATGAGTGTTCCTAGCAGTGAACCCCAGGAAGGCGTCCAGACGGAATACGTGGTAAAGTGCTAAGACCATGTGCCCACCAGCTCACCCTCATCTCCACCAGAATCTTCAACCTCTCACTGGATGAAGCAGCCATCCCATCCTGTCTAAAATCAGCCACAATCATCCCAGTACCAAAGAAGTCTCCCATCACCAGCCTGAACTATTATTGCCCTGTGGCCCTCACACCGGTAATCATGAAATGCTTTGAGAGACTAGTCCTTCAGCACACCAAGGATTACCTCCCCCCAGAATTCGACCCCCACCAGTTTGCATACCGTGCAAACAGATTCACAGAAGATGCCATCACCCTCCACTCGGTGCTGAGTCACCTAGAACAGCGGCAGAGCTACGCCAGAATGCTCTTTGTGGACTACAGCTCACCCTTCCACCACTCGCCCATTGAGAGCCTACTAACTTACTGCATCACAGTATGGTACAGCAGCTGCACTAAGGCGGATAGAGCCACCCTCCCAGCATGTTTGCAATGAGTAGGAGATGCTCTGTATCTCACTGTACAACTGTATAGTGACAAAGGTATTGGGTTCTTTTCTAAAAATTGCTATAAACAGAGGAACCCAAACTGATGAAAAGTGGCGAATATTTTTTTTCAAATGACTATTTTTAGTGGATGTTTGATATAGAGGCAGAATGACAGAATGTTAAAAGAAGTTACTTTTAGTCATTCTAAGCTGGGCATTGCGTTCTCTGGCTGTTCAAAGCCATGGAACTTTAGACTTTCCAAGCAAATAATGATGGCCATACTGATGTTCTTTTCAGTACATTTTACTTTATGTTCATTTTCATTTTTATGATGTTTCTATTTTTACATAATTCCTCCCACATAGCAAAATTGGTATGGCCTGGATCTGTCCCACACAATGTGCTTACACATGGCCTGCGTACCGCAAAGAATGACGGCCCTATGGTGGCCCAGATCTGGTTTACCAGAGGTGGCCCACACATGAGCCAGCACAAGGCCAGTTGCAGACACACTGCTGGCCCTGTGCTGGCCCAGAACAGTTTCAGCTCTGGCCCCAGATGTCAGCCTAATGTGTACCTTAGCCATGTAAGCCATGTAATAACAACATGTGCTGGAACATAATAGTGCAAAAGTAACATGACGAAACTCTGTTCAGACAGTGAATGGACTGATTCTTATACAGCACTTTTTTACTCACCCATATTACTCAAAGTGCTCTATACAACATGTCACATTCACCCAATCAGGCCAAATGTGGCATGCCATCACATAAACAGTGCCATCTTACCATGCCAGAAGTCAGCCAGCAGTGCCGGCTTGACACCAGATCCAGGCAAGACCCGTCTGCTATGTGGGATGACTTGTTCTTTTGGCATTTTAGTTGTGGATTATGTTTGGGCTGTGTCTCTTGCCCTTTCAGTATTGTTTCTTGTGCTTCTAAGTGTCCCTTTGTTTCTTTTTAGGTTATGTAGTATGGGTTAGAGATATTTTGTATGTTGTTTTTGTTTAATAAATCCGCCTTTTGGATTATTCCCTGATGTGCCTGAGTTCTGTTATTTAGTGTCACTTTGAAAGGACACACATCCAGCATTGACATATAATTGTTCTTTCAATTTTTGATAAAGATTACAGTGAATTGAGATGTAACTTGGCCCAGAGGTACGGTAGGACGCCCAGAGTAAGAAAGTGTTGAAAGTTGGACCTCAACTATTATGGATGATTTTTAATGAATTTTTGAAATTTCCATAATTGTAGTGTATTGCTGTATAATCAGCCTTAATTGGGTCATTGATTACGCGTACTTGTAATTTGTGCGCATGCGAGCGTCACGTGTGCGCGGGTATAGGCTTTCAATCGGCACATAAAGCGAAAAGGCGCTACCGTAAAGACTGGTGTAAAAGCGCAAGGAAATTTATGCGGCGGATAGGAGGCGGCTGGCTTGACCGCGGCTCACAAATGACGGCTCACTTTACCGCGGTGATCTTTGGTCCCTAAAACATATCACAAAAATCTAAATTAGTCGTATGTAAAAACCGCGGGACCCACCGTACAAGCTAGTTTACGATTATTTTAATTTAAAAAACAAAAACATGTCTATGCAGATGCCAAAGCCTAACAACACAACCGCTATAAAAATGTAACTTTTGTACCAGCAGATTTTCATACACTTACATTTGAAAGCGTTTCCTCTCCCGCATTAACTCCCGTTTCGACCGCCATGGTTATCAGAAAAACTCCTGTATGGCCCGCAATGAATCCTGGGATAGGGTAGGACCCGAAAGATACGCCGAGCCATCCTTCGAATTCGGGGAAAACAAGGAGGCGTTTGTCGCCACATTTGGAGGACTCTTTGAATTTGCACAGCCTTCGTCGCGTCAGTGTGCCTAGTTTGGCTTCCCCTGCTCTTGTTGTATTTGATTACTCCCAGCTGTGCTCTCCTCCTGTGCTCCCATTCCCTCGTTATCCCTCCGCGTATTTTAGCCCCGTGTTTCTATCAGTCATGTTCGTCCGTGTTCGCTATCTGATTCGAGTTCTGGTGTATCGATGGAATGTTCGCTGTGGTACTCTTCTTCTTTCGCTGTACTCCTTGAGTCGTTTCGTGGTTTGTTGTGACCGTGTTTTGGTCATCCTAAATTGTCGGGTCTTGTCGATCTCCCTAACTCGGTCCCAATCTGCTCTTCAGTGTTTTGTTGCTTTAATTAATTTATTATTAACAACAATATAAAATTATGCACAAAAGGAATTACTAATGTAAAAAAAAACGTGGTTTTATTTATATATGTTTATATATAAATATATACGGTGGCCCCTAGAGACAAAGCACTTGCAAACTCCAAAACATATGTCTAGCGTTAACTGAACTTCCAAAACAGTGCTATGTAGATCACTTAAATGACACAATTGAAAGCATATGTGTGTTGTTTGTGTATTTATACACAAGCACTCATATAGGGCTGTGCAATATGACCAAAATCTCATATCCCGATATAAGACATCTATCGTCCCGATAACGATATAAATCACAAAAATGTAACATTTTCTGTAAATTCTGTGAATCTCGGGCAGCTCGACTTGCGTGAAGTGTTTCCAGCTGGGCGTCATGTACCTGGAGTCGATGTTTTAACCGATGCATGAAACGATACATTTTTAGACATAAGTTGTAACGGCCGCCGTTTTCTTTGTATTTATTACACGGCGTGCTGGGAGCTGTCTAACGTTTGAGTCTAAGTTTATTTTTTAGCACCTGACGGCTCTTTTTTGCTTCTCATCCGTAAATACTCTGCATACTCTTTCACGTGATTCAGTTTATTTTGAAAAGTCTCAACAGATCTTGAGCTTTATTGTGAAAGGTTTATGTGGAAAATAAACAAGCGGACAGGCCACGGTGTTACCGTCATTGTTGCTAACGACAACACATAAAAACAGGCGCTTGTCTGTCCGTAGTGTGGTTATATTAAATATAAGAGAAAGAACTTTAAGAAATTAATACAGCCACTACAGTGACCATCAAAACGCATGAAAAAAATATTGCCGTAAACAGTTTATTTTGCATTGGGAGCCTTTTAGGGCCTTTACGAAACAAATCGATAGTCGTAAAGAAATTTCATAAGTTTTTATTATTGTCTATCTGTATATATTATGTGTCGTATTATATCACATAGCCGCATAGTATATATATTTTACGTAAAAGTAATAGAAGAAAAAATGCTGTCATTTACCTGTTACTTGTGACCACTACAAAAATCCTGGTCTATTTTGGTACTTCCTGGTTGTGTAACACTGAGGTAAGCAATTAGCTGCTTCAGCTGCCCCTTAGCATCTCAGGAGGCATCTTGTCTGTTGTTTGTACGTGTTTGTCTCTTAGGTCGTTGCCAGCGTGTAAATATATTTTATTTTATTCACTCTACATAAAATGTATAATTAATAATAAATCTTATATTAATACAAAAACCAACTATTTACTATTTTCACTTTTAACTATGTTTAAATTTTCGAGCTTTTTCTCTTTTACAACAAGATTATATAGTGAAACATGACTACAATACGGCAGGAAGAAAAAGGAAAATAGTGAAGTATAAAAAAAAGAAAGGGCAAAAGATGGATGTTGTTTGTAACTTTTTTGTAGGGACTCGACAAGCTTCAATTCCATCACACACTAATGACGTAAGCACAACGTATTTTACAAATGTAAATGGTCTTGGATTCTTATGAGTAGGTGCGGTCCTTTGTCTATCCTCTCCTGGAGTATTTCAATACGCAACTGTTATTATTATCTTGCTGTAACATGTCTCATTCACCCTACGATAACAACACTTCTAAACACAAGTTGGTAAACGAATCTACAAACATATGGAGCATAAATATGCATTTGCAATCTAGCTTTTGCTGCACAATTTCACTCTCATAATTAAAAGAGGGGAAGTAAAGGGATTGCCTTCTGAAACTAGTTTCACAGCTGATGAAGCGTGTAAAGATAGTTATGTGTAAAATAGTTGCTACGTGGGACTGTTCGCAGTCGAGGATGTGGAAACAGAAAAGAGGAAATGAGCGATATTTGCTTTATTTTCAGTTTTTCTTGTACAGCAATGTGTGTGTGTGTGTTCTATTTATCATCAATCATAGAATTCACTTTTAGTCATATAACGCAAATCATAAATCATATTACATAATCAAATCAAATCACTTTTATTGTCACATCACATGTGCAGGCACACTGGCACAGCACATGCGAGTGAAATTCTTGTGTGCGAGCCCCACAAGCAACAGAGATGTGCAAACACAACAACACAAACGAGCAAAATACAAGAATGGCCAACCTGAAACTAATAAATATATGTACAATATATAATAGTGTATGCATTTCTGGATGTGTATACTAAATATTTTCCTACTGTGTGTGTGTGTGTGTGTGTGTGTGTGTGTGTGTGTTGTGTGTGTATACACATTTTTACAATTTAAATAGTAAAAAAAAATAATAAAATAAATAATAATAAAAATATACAGAGTTGAATATGTGCAAAACAAGTGGCATTTATATACAGTGTGGAGTGCATAATGTTGAAGTTCCAGTAGTGAAGCTGAGGTGTCTATGACGTGTTCAGCAGTCTGATGGCCTGGTGGAAGAAGCTGTAACTCACTCACTCACTTTAAATTTGAGTTGAATAGCCCTGTTTTAGGCCTGTTGGAGAAGAGCAGAGCAGGCCACTGGTTTATTTTAGTAGTGTGTGACTACTACTACTGAGATATCCTGATGCTTTCTCCTTAAAAGAGGTTAAGGCCCATTCTCCATTCCAGGTTTTTTTTTTTTTGACACAATTGGCCGGAAGAGTTTGACATGTTCACGGGGCTTCATCACACCATCACGAGGAGCCTCGTGATGGTGTGATGGCCCATTTCAAAATGAAGCTGGTGTCAAAAAACACCAACACGCTGCTTCAGAAACAGCTTGGTTCGTCTGAACAGAGTCACGTGATCAGTGATGTACTGTTCTCTCTATGTGTTGAACTCCCTGAGTGTGAACATAGATAAACAGCCAAATTTGGCCTGCAGACTAATTACATTTGGCCCGCGAAGCCATACAAAATTACCATTAGAGCTGGCCTGCCAGTATTATACAGTGCATGTACTGCTAATACTACAATTCCCAGAATGCTCTGTTGGTGTTTTGGCACGTCAGTCATGACAGGACCCATTAGCACCCTCTCCTCTGTTGACCATAGTCATAGCAACCATGCAAATACTGCCATGCTACCTATCCCAAAATGGCAAAAAGAAAGGCAGAAAACAGGAGCTTTCTGGACAGGTGGGAGAATATGATGAAAATCTGATAAATGATAAAATGATCAAATTTAATTCAGAAGGCTGCAAATACATTTTTTATTTAAGAAATAATTCCACTGATGTGTTATTTAATTGGAATTTTGATTTTGCATGTGTGCAATATTAAGTTATATATACGTTTATATAAGTTATATATATTGTTTAGTATTAAGCTTTGCTTGTTCCATATTCAGTTTTTCAGCAAAACTTGTTTGAGTCCATAAGAAAAGATTCCTTGTTATATTTGGAGGAAGATTTTTTTTCAATGAATATTAACGTTAGCCCGCGACTTTGATCCAGTTTTGAATTTTGGCCCACTGTGTATTTGAGTTTGACACCCCTGCTTTAAGGGATAAACTGATCCAGTTTAAAGTTGTAGACTCCAAAGTGCAGCAGTCACTTTAGAAATAAACACAGAAAGCGCACTCAGTGATAAAACAGATCACTGGAATTAAAGTGTTTACCACTCACTAAGTTAACAGGTTAACAGATTTCTGCAGCAATTCAATTCAATTCAGTTCAGTTTTATTTATACAGCGCCAAATCACAACAGCAGTCACCTCAAGGAGCTTTATATTGTACAATAGATCGTACAATAATGCAGCATTCACACCGTGTCCTTTTTATAACAGTCCTGCATTTGCTTGTACATTTTTTGTTCTTTAAAGATTTTTAATCACCAATTAAACATTTCTGGAAGGGTTGGTGCTGGTAGGGATCATTTCCTGTGGAAGAAAAGGCATATGACCAGTGAAATGTTCTTTGTAGGTTAGTTTGATGGTACTAACCCCACCCCTTTCATGTGAACATGAAAGGGGTGGGGTTAACATATTAACTAACATAGTGAGTTAATAACCACTTTAATTGCCAGTGTTGTGTAAGCTTATTGAGGTATGTGAAATGATACGTGTTGCTCCATCACACCTGCTGTATACAGAGGTGGGTTGTGTGAACTATCAAGGATTGAACGGTACACAGCAAATCCAGCATGTCCAAATTAACACTGTCGGATTTGATTTCAACACTATTAAAGTGTCTATATGGGTCCACACCAGAGAGTGTTAATTTAACTCTTTTTGGAGAGTTGGTACGTTAACTCTGATTTAGTGTTAAACACCAAATCTGTCTGGAGTTGATAATTTAACACTTGGTGTTAAGAGTTTATATATTAACTCTCAAAGAGTATTTTAGTTTAACTACGTAAGAGTTATCTTCTAATTCATTCTAAAAAGCGGGAATTTTACTGTTCTGAACTTCTAGAAATTTCTTTTGGAAATAAACATTTACTAAAAAGATGCAATGGTTTTTGAAAAACATTTATTCTGTAAGCGGTAGGGGTTTGGTGAGTTGGGGCACGGAATTCTTGTCTGAGTCTTCGTGTGTATGATATACTTCTAGGTCATCATGTTTTAGTTGGTGTTATTGGTTTAAGTTTAATGACTCGTTATCGCTGGTACGTTTATTAAAGATGCAATGGTGGTTTTATGTATTGTGAGTAAAGACATGTTTCTGGGTCTGTTGTGGGCCGGTGGTTTGGGTTCGTTCGGTTTCTTGGCTTTTTGGTGGTTGTTTGGTTTTGTGGAGAGTGGCTGTGGCTGGGGGGTGTTGTCTCTGCTTGGCGGCAATCTGTTGGTTTTTGTG